GAACTTTTATAATTACCATACGTTATAAAATCCTCAATCATTGATTATTACGTCGTCTCCCAATGTTTCAAAAAACAAGAGATTTTCTCCTGAAATTGCCGTGTAGATTATGTTGATGTCTATCAATCATCGTTATTAACCAATAAATTTTATTTATGTTGGTTGTCTATTAATCATCGTTATTAACCAATAAATTTTTTCGTCGTTTATATTAAGGAGAATTATTATTTGTGTAATATTGTAAAGTCCTAGAAAAGTGCAATATTGAATATTCACGATTCTTATTATGAATCAAAGATGTCTAAATAAGAGAATGTGTTGTTTTGTCAATGTTCTGATTTAAAAGAATTATCTTGATTAAGAAACACTAATTCCAATTCTTCCTGATAAGCTTTATTGGCAGCCTGCTTTTTTAATCTTTTAGCTTCACGTTCCTCTTTTTCTATAGCTTTACGTTTCTGTGAGATATAACTCGTAGGATCCTTGGCCGGATTCTTACAAGAACGAAGCTTAAGATCATATTCTTGAGCCTTTTTCTTATCAACAGGTGTATAGCTCTCAATTGTCTTTTCAATATCATCAAGTATCTCAAACAAATCCTTTAGTTGCTGTTCGGACACATCTTTTGAGTGTTTTGATTGCGCACCACTAAACTTTTCGCGAATATAAGCATCAAAATCGAAGGCAATTTTGGGTGATCGAGATGCTAAGCGCATACATCCCATTGCTATCTGTGATGGTTGATAGAAGAACGTTAAGTCGGTTAAAAGCGACTGCTTTATGTGTTCTTTGGATTTCTCATAGATTTTTTGTATTTTCTTAATGTCTTTTGAGTAGTAGCTTTGCATATCTAGATACAAGCCGTAAGCACTCTTGTGTGGATGATGCACGGCATATTCATAGTTCATGCTCTGCGATAATGCCAACTCAAGTTGAAATAGTGTTTCCTTCGCCAAATCCACGCGCGAGGTCTTCTTCATCAATGCGCGAAATTCTTCATGGCCAATAGTGCTATTTTCGCATTTCGCCGCGAGAAACAGCGATGCCAACATAATCATCTTTGGATGATAATCCATCACAGTATTCCGCAAATAAAACCTTTTCATAAACACAATCGCCGTGGCCCTCAGCTGCTCACTGAACCCGGTCGCCGGGATCTGCTGAATAATCATTTCATAGTACTGACAAATCACCAGCTCTTCGTCAGCCGTCAGAAACTGAACGTCTTCTGGCGTTCCTCCACCACCACCGTAACGAGGCGAGTTCGTGTAAGAGGGGCGCGGCGAATTTTGAAGGGATGCAGGCAGTGGCGAGTTTTGGAGTGATTGAGGAAGCGGCGAATTCTGATAGTGTTGTATGGGACTGCTGCTTTGTGATTTTGGTGGGGCGGTTTCGGCGAGTTTCAGATCTTCTGTCATGTTCTTTTTTACTCTTTCGACACCTGATTTGTTGGCTTGCTCCCGGAGATCTTTTAGTCGTTTTTTGGAGAATCGCCAGTTACGGTATTGTGAAGTTTGTTCATATAGTTGCTTTTTGGAGTTGCTTGAAGATTGTATAGTTGAGGTGGTGCTAATAGTTGAAGGATTAGTAGTCGCGCTAGTAACAGAAGTATTATAAGCGTTATTAGGGGCGCTATTAATAGTAGTGGTATTAGAAGTAGAGGTAGATTCTAGCGGATTAGCAGGGGTTTGTGACATTGCAAATACTTGGCAATTCTCCAATAAGCAGCCAAAAGAATAAAAGAGAGGCGCGTAAAGTGCGAAGAATAGATTTTAAAATCATCATGATTTTTTAGGTGATCGCACTATATATATGCGTACTTGAACAATGCATTGTTTCATTATATGGTGTATAAGTAAATTGTTCGTGTATTGTCTAAAAATTGAAATTTCGCCCAAATTTTATTTAGTAATCCCAACAATATTTTTCTTTCGTTCGGGAACATAGGGCACAGCACCCTTCTTCGAATGCTTTCGAACATTTTCCTCTTTTCTTTTCTGTGCGTCAAGCATGATTTGTTTCTTTTTCTGCGCGTTCTTGATTTCCGTCGGGATGTTGCGGTGTCTTTAGATTTAAACAAAGGAATAAAGAAAAACAATAGAAAAGTTAATAATTGTCGTGCATTATTATTTATGTACAGCAGAAAAAGGAATTCATTGTTTGATTATCGCTGACCTTGAAATTCGTCTAACCTCCGGTAGATTTTTAAATCGAGCTTTAAGTTTTTCGGAATACTCTAGGAACGCGCGTTCACGATAATCCTTCTACATAAAACGCATAACCACAAGAACAATAATAATTAAACTTTCCAGCCTACAAACCAAAACAGAATATAAATCATAATACTTTACCGCGCCTAACTTCTCCGATGCATGAACCTTCCAAAGCCGTACATTTCCATCATCCGAACCAGAAAGCAAGAATTTCGCATCCATACTATACTTTACACAGAATATACGTTGCATCCGTTTGGTGTGGTATACATCGCGACTACGACCCTCGCGCGCTCGGAAAATTCGAAGTGTACGATCGTATGAGCCAGTGACTAGTTCTTCACCGGTTGGCGAGAAGTCGACGTCTAGTCTTTAATATATATATATATATATATATGTGAATATGTGTATTGAAGTATTCCAAATAAATTTTTAAGATTACTTACAATGCGCCAACATGATCTTTTAACACGTTCATGGCGATATTCATTTTTCGCATGTCGTATATGTAGCAATTTTGGTCTTCATTCGCCTAGATGAATTTATTAGCAAATTATTATCGATAAAAAAATCTTAAATATCCTTTAAAAATTCAAAAATCACTTACAGCCGCGAAATTGAAAGCCTCCATAGGATTCCACGCGATAGCATTCGTTTTTAACTAGTTCATTTTATTTACAAACCAAAATTTTTAGCCTATGTAAATCCTTCTACTCAAATAGACAAACAACCAACCTGCAAAACTAATTTAGCCAACGGTGAACTAGTTCTCAGATCATACATAATAATTGACCTATCAGTCCCGCAACTAGCAAGTACATTAACTTCTGTTTGGTTAAATTTTACGGTGTTGATTGTGTCCTCGCCCCATTTTATGGTCTTTATAGGATCCGACCTAAGGTGGTCAAAAATTAAATTTTCCAATTTGACAATGCCAAGAATCAATAAGAGCTGGTCAACCAGCCAGTCAGATTTGTTATATATATTAGTTCTCGAACCTTTCTTCACGCCAAACATCAATTTGTGATCCAGAAGTAGCAAATATTGTTTCAGATCGATGATGATCAATAGCATTAAACGCGTATTTTCCAAGATACGTGTTTATAGGCTCATCATACGATTCATTAGGTTTCCATAATTTTACTGTTTTATCTATTCCACATGATAGATAACTGTCACCTCTAGGACTGCAGCACACGCCTTTCACAATGCCTTTATGTGCATTGATTTTCCAGCGAGTTTCTCGCGCTGATAAATCCCATAATCGAATTTCTACATTTATTTCAAATTTTTTTCATTTTAAATATCATCGTTTTCTTAGCATAAAAATAATCAATGATAATCACAAAAAGTCACACCTCCGTCACCACTCCCTGACAGGACAGTCGACAACTTATGTGGGTGCTTCGCCAAACAGTAAACACCGTCCGCATGTCCACTCAACGCCCCGATAAAAGGTTTCGCAAAAAGCCGTTCAAGTTTCACGGCATTCAGTGCACGGGTGTATTCTCGCGCTTTCTCGAACGGGTGTAAGGCGGGATTGAAGTTCCTTTTTACTTTGTGAAGATCCGTAGATCGATCGCGTGTGTATTCTTCAACGGAGCGTGAGAGAACTTTTACCTTCTGTTTTTACGAATGAAATAAGACACGAGTGAGCAGTCTTAAGATTTTTTTGAGGATTACAGAAAGATACACGGTTAACTTTTCAAAAGTTTGTTACACTAACCATTCTGAATTTATGGATTGTCAATAAATGTGGAAAACTTTATAAGTGGTAGCACGTGAATTTTCAATAAAACAATTACATGTATATCATACTTTAAATACCCTGAAACGCGTTTTTTTTTTTTTACTTTGGAAATACTCGAGATGCGGATTCTCACCTGGAATGTAAATGGATTACGATCATTGGTCAAATATTCTCCGTATGTATTTTAGTTGCATGCAAGTATACGCGTAATAGGGTATTGGAAGCTTATATACCTTTTCTTTCAACACTGATAATAGTTGGTGCGAACATAAGGACTACAAGGTTTGTTCTAAATGTATCTTTTCACTTAAAATTTCAAAAAAGATTTTAACAGAAAATTTCGTAGGCTATTTTGGATGCATTAGACGCGGAGATAATCTGTCTTCAAGAAACAAAACTTACGCCAGATAGGCTAGACCCATCAATTGCTTTAGTAGATGGCTACGATGCATATTTCTCAATGACACAAAATAAAACAGGGTACTCTGGCGTTGCCACCTATATCAAAACGAGTAGTATAGTAGGACCATTTGAAGCTGAAGAAGGAATCACTGGAGTTCTTTCCCAGAATCGAACAGCAACGGCGCGAAATAATGAACAGAGAGAGATAATAGGAGGACACTTTTCAACAGAATTTTCGAATAGTGAATTGTTGGAGCTTGACGCAGAAGGAAGATGCATCATCCTCGATTTCGGATTGTTTATTCTGTTTAATGTATATTGTCCGCATGAGTCTAACACTGAACGATTACCTTTCAAACTGAAGTTCCATAAAGTGTTGCAATCACGCGTTGAATCACTACTTAAAAGTGGAAAAAATGTTATTGTGATTGGTGATATTAATGTTACCCATTTGGAAATTGATCATTGTGATCCGCAGAAAGCTGTGAGAGAGCAGAAGTTGAAGTCGTTTACTGATCACCCGGCACGAAGGTGGTTTGATGGTTTTTTGGCGCCGAAAGGTCCTATGATCGATGTGTGCAGATATGTATGTTTTACCAAATTATTTTTTAATAACTGTAAGATTGATTGCCATATAATGTAGAGTAATATTTTTAGTTTCATCCAAACGAAGAAAAAATGTATACATGTAAGTTGGCTTTTAGATTTGTAGTCTATATATAATTCAAAGAATTTTGATTTTATTTATATAACGAAAATTTTATTTCTAGGTTGGAATACTGTAATTGATGCGAGGTGAGCATATTCTGATTGATATATTCTTATTCGGTAATCAATATAGTAGTTAATGACACACCAATCTAAATACTTATTCGAAGACCTGTAAATTATGGTATGTATGTGTATTTAATCTATAATTATTCTATACATGTAACCGTTTAAAATATTCGAATAGGCACCCGCCTAGATTACATACTATCAAGCCAAGAATTATTACCCTGGGTCAAACTATGTGACATTCAACCACACATAATGGGATCCGATCATTGTCCGGTGATAATTGAATTATTTGACGAGATTAAAGATGGTGAACTGACAATTAAACTATTGGATGAAATGGAAAGATTAAAAACTAATAAAGGAACTGGAAAACCTAGTCTTTGTGCAAGATTTCTGCCTCAGTTCTCGGGAAAATTTTCACTTCAAAATTATTTTCAGAGAGCAAGTGACTTGAATAGCAAATTGGAGAATCCCGGTGACTTGAATATTAGTTTAAATTCTGTAAGAAGTGAAAAGGCAATTTCGTCGTCACCATCATTATCAGCACCACGTAAGTTCGTCGCTAGTAAAAGTGGGTCATCAAAAAAGTCCAAGACTGGTAATAGTAGCAAAAGTAGTGTGACAAAATCTAAAAAACCAGATAATACGTCATCATCAGGACAACGTACTTTAGTTTCCTTTTTCAAGAGTGCTTCATCTTCGTCAGAAGATTCTGTTCTGTCTGCCGAGACAGATCGAAAAATCGACGCAGATCTAGATACAGAAATTCAAAATTTCACAGAACTCTACGATGCAACAGTTGTCGATGCTGAGACATCTGAAAAACAAGAAAATACAACATCGACTGGAAGGGAGGAATCATCTAATTCAAGAGCATCTACACAAAATTCACAAGTGCAGTCTCAATGGATGGCGTTGTTCACTCCGCCTCCTATACCAAACTGCATGGCTCATGGAGAAAAGTGTAAAGAATATCGAGTGAATAAGTCTGGACCGAATCATGGTCGAAAGTTTTATATGTGCTCGCGGTAATTTATTATTAATTCCTTATTTGAATTATACTGCTAATAATAATTTGACAAGAATTACATGTGTGCAGACCAGTAGGTCCTTCACCAGATGACCGTTGTGACTTTTTCGAATGGGCAAAACCAGTCAAGTCATCATCAAAGAGAAATAACGAAGAAATAAACAACGCCAATAAGTCAAAGGAATCACCGAAAAAAAGAAAAATAAAATAATCATTGTAATAAAGGAATTCTCGCATTCATTTTTTTTCATTCCTCATTGCTTAAACGCTGTTATACGTTATTAATTATTGTTTAACCGATGATTTTATTTTCGATAAAAGATGTTCAATCTGGCTTTTCATTACAGGCTGCCCTTTTGCTGTGCGTTTAAACAACTTCTTTTTGGTTTGTTTACGATTCATATAATAATCGACACGACGTTTGGCCTGTTCTTCGCGCTCTTTTTTAGATGCCTGTATGTATAAAAATTATATTACAAAAAATGATGTAAATATCAACGTCTCAAGTATTGTGATTACATCATTTTTCCATGAAAGGTTTGCATAATACGAATATAAATATAAAAGTTGGCTTTTCATTTTCGTGTTTTAATGTCAATAGTAGTAATATTCATACCTCTATTCTGGCTTGTTTTTCTAGCCGTAGTCGTTCGGTCTCCTTATATCGCTTTTCGAAGGGATTGGGTTTTGATGAGTTTCTTTTGTTTCTGAGTTTTTGTATGATTTATTGGTTGATGGAATGGAAAGTGTTACAAAGATAAAAGAGTATGAATTTTATGATAAAACTTTTGATACATGCTTACGTTTTTGTATCATCTTTTTTCTGGATTCATTTGTAAAAAAAGAATGATTCATGTTAGTGACATATGCTTATATGAAACAATCAAGAAATAATACCTTTTTTCCTTTTGCGATGGATCCCTTTTTTTCGACATCGTCATCACTGTCAACACTCTCGAACGATGAAGAGAGACTATCGTTATCATCTTTATGTTGTTGTAGCTTCGGACGTGAAGATAATTCTTGTGCTGTTATTATCTCATTATCATGTATTTCTTGATCATTACTATCATTAATCGATGATGATTGTTGTCCAAATATCTAAATCAAATTAACTATTGATCTTAATACAATTCAAATTTTAAATACGATGATCATATTTAAGTTCCTTACCTCCTTATAAAATTCTGGCGTCTCTAACTTTTCATTCTTTTTAATCTTTTTAAAATAATCTTTTTTGATTTTCGCTTTCTTAATTATTCTGTTTTTCTTGATTTTCTTTACTTTTATTTATAAAATCCAATTTCCATATATATATAATATATATACATGATTAATAAAAAAAATGGTGCAAAAAAGAGAGCAACATGTGCCAAAAAAGAATCACAATTAACCTTTTTCTCGATAATCGAATCCTACAGAACTTTTCATGCTTGTATCGTTATTTTTACTAACGCTAACCCAACAATATTACTATAATCACTAAAAAATGATTCACGTGAGCGATATAAAATTAAAGATTATCTATGGATGATAAAATCCGTACACCGCGTTCATAGAAAAACTATAGCACCAGCGGGATTAGCAACTATTTATCTTGCCAGACCGCGAAAAAATGGCAAACAATAGTATATTTAAGCTTCAACAGCCAGCGGGCACTAGTTTCGATCTTTCTGATTATCCCTTTAAAATTAATGATTCAATTCCTGAAGTTCCCGGCGACACTAGAAGCGACGCGAGTAAGAATACTTTATAGGTCCTCATAAAAACAAAAATAACGATATTCATACTAGTCAAAATTTACTTGAAAAAAATCCACAGGAAAGACTGTTCTCCTGACAACTCAACTTGCAGTCGCTACCTCGATTGGATTCCTTTCCTTTCTTCTATTTTGTTTCTTGAGACCACGATGGAGTACATTGTTTGCTCCTCGAACCAGACTCAAAGGGTATTTACTTCATAAATCATTAAACCTGATTTTTGTAAAATGACTTATACTAATATTAAAGAGATATTGACAGGATAGCCCCCACTTTACTCCCGGACACATTTTTCGGCTGGGTATTACCGTTAATTCGAATGCCAGAATCGGAAGTTTTGGATCGCGTAGGATTGGACGCTGCAGTGGTACTCTTTTTTTTCGAATAAATTAATTAAAAGAAAGCTTTCATATGTCATTAAATAGAATTAAAACGTATTTTATTCATTCAAAAAAAAGCTTCTTGGATTCTTTAAAATGTCCTATAAGCTTTTTGCTTTTTGCGGTGTATTCGCCTTACTAGTCATAGGTCCCATAAAACTATACGATTATATCCAACGAAAAAACGGAAACAACTTTTTCGATGACGACCCTATAAAAATCCCTGACGAACAGAATCCCTTGATAGGATTTTCATATGCACTCTTCACATGGGTATTTTCGCTGGCGTCGTTCTATTTTCTGTATTACAATTACCGAGCATTCGTCGATGTTCGTCGACAATACTACCTGAAATTGAAAGACACCTTAGTGGCAAGAACTGTGATGGTCACTGTGATTCCAAAAGAACTGCAATCGGATCGTGCACTCGCAGAATTCTACGAATCTTTAGGACTCGGAAATGTCGAGAGTGCGGTTGTTTGTCGTCATGTGCGAAAATTGAAGCACGCGATCGAGAGGAGAACGTATTATCTGCAAGAATTGGAAAAAGCCTATGTTGAATGGTTGGGGAACCCATGTACAGATCCGAATTATGACGAGGATAAGATGTTGGAAGAGATTGAAGGTTCGCTGCCGAGCATGCACAGTAATAGAGAAGATGAGGGTTTGTTAGAGTCGGGTCATGAGATGTTGAAAATTGAAACTCCTCGCCCGACTTTTCGTGATGGGCCTTTTCATATTTTTGGCAAGAAGGTTGATAAGATCAATTATTATACCCAAAAGCTTCGTTACTATGATAATTTGGTTGATCAAGGTAGGCATGGAAGGTACACGCCTACATCTGTTGGATTTGTCACTTTTGAGGATTTTTCAAGTGCGGTAAATCATCTGAAAATGGTTGATTTGCTGGTTTTCTGATTTCTGATTAAACATTATTAATTCATTGGGAAAAATTTATATAGCAAATTGCAGCCCAGACACTTAACCATCCCGAACCATTTCATTGTCAAACAACCCTTGCACCTGAACCACGCGACGTGTAAGTTTACTTTGATCTTTATATTATTTGACTGTAACAATAAAGTCATATCAATTGTGTGATGGAACCAATCAAAAATCCAGATATTGGCAAAATATCAACTTTCGCGAACGAGAACTGATATTCCGCGATGTCTTCATCAACGTCTTACTGGTATTTCTTGTATTTTTCTGGTCCGGTCCGATCTCTTTTTTTGCATCACTCCTCAATCTCGACACTCTGGCAAAAGTATTCCCCTGGCTGGCGAACTTGGCGGAGAAAAATGAAATCTTGAAAGGTTTGATTCAAGGGTCGTTGCCGACTTTGGCTGTTTCGGTGTTTAACGCTTTGTTACCGATAATTCTTGATTGTGGGTTTTATTTCACTTCATAAACTATATGATTATATTGTCATTTTATAAAGATGCTAATGACATTTTTTATTTTTGATTAAGTCCTCTCAAAAAAACAAGGCCTTCAAGCCCGAAGTTATGTCGAGTTATCTACATTATCAAAGTATTTGCACGATTACTTTCTTTTTCAAGTCTTCATATAACATATCTTGGTCTTTTGAATTATTAATTTTATAATTTGTCATATAGGTTTTTCTTTTTCTTGTTGGTGAACGTTCTTCTCATCTTCACTATCGCGGGCACGATATTCAAATCGCTCGAAGACATCATCACTGAGCCAACAAAAGTAGCAAAAATTCTTGCGACGACTTTGCCAACTGTATATATTTATTATACACACATTTAAATACCATTGCATTCTTTCATATCTTTACTATACTAAACATTTATACTTTCACCGAAAAATTTTTTTTCAACGAACAAAACCACAAAAATGCATAAATTAAAATTAGGTCGCACCATTCTTTGTAAACTTTGTAATTCTCGAAGGCATCGGTATCTACCCCCTACAACTACTGCAATTCGGCGACGTCGTAAGCACTCTAATGAAACGACTTTTCATTGCCAAAACCCCACGACAATATGCCGAGGCGAGTACACCACCGTTTCTAAATTACGGGATTGCGTATCCGCGCGCGGTTTTGATTTGGGTTATTATTTTGGTATATTCGGCGATTAGTCCGGTGATTTTGTTTTTTGGCGCCGTGTATTTCTTCTTAGGATTTTTTACGTTCAAATATTTATTGCTTTACGGTGAGTTTGGACGAAAAATAGATATTGATTTTTTATCGTCAACGTGGTGATGACCTTATCTATTAATTATTATTAGTTTATTTTCATCCATATGAGTCTGCTGGTCAAGCATGGCCTTTGATATTTCGTCGAGTGATTGTTGGGCTTGTGATTTTTCAGTTAATGATGACTGGGTTTTTGGCGCTTCAGCAAGATTATTGGTTAGCAAGCTCTATAACTCCTTTATTGATAGGAACTGCTGTGTTTACAACGTATGTGAGTTTGGCATTTAACAAAAGCAGCGAGTTTCTTCCGCTAAAGTTGATTCGTGATGAGCAGAATAAGCATCCAACAAGTACTGACGATACGGAAGAAGATGATAGTATACCAACTAGAGCCCCACCAAATCAAGCAACAAGTGAACCGCCAAACACAGGATTCCAAAACACTAATAATGATGACTCAATCGTCCAATCATCGTCAGCGTCTTTCTCCGCGCATAAGCATCGAGAAATTTTAGATGATGATTTGTACCAGGCTGAACCTGATTTATACACAGATTACACACAACCTCCAATGACGTTATACCCTGGAATACTGAACACTGGAATGAGGCGGTACGGACCTCCAGCATTAGTGGGAATACTGCCGTGGGTGTGGCTTCCTGTAAAAAGAAACCAAGATGATATCAAGAGTACCCCAGGATTTTTCCGTGGACTTTTGGGTATGCACAAGAAAGGCGAGAAACCAAGTTCTACAGAAGGGGAAGAAGAATCACCGGCACAACCAATCTCAGATCATGAGGGCAGTCAACTTCGACGAAAAAATAGTCAGATTCTTGCCCTTCAACGGGATGAAGCAGCTCAAGAAGATCCAAATAATCCTAATAAAACTTATTATCATCATCCAGAACGACGCAAGACAAGACAAGCAACCATGAGAATTCGACCTATACCTGAGGATATTAATGAAGGATCCACCAGCACCTCACGAGAACCAATTGTCGAAAGTCCGGTAACTAACTCTTTTAACAATTCTGAAACTCACACGCCGCCTCGTCCGTCGCCATTGAGGCAGGCGTCAAACCCGTCGCGACGGGTTAGTCAGTATTTGGAAAATTGGGCTGGAAATAATTTTGGCGGGGAGGCCATGAATGATGGAAGTGTTGGTAATAGTAATTAATGATTTTTATCATTTAGTTGATTGGTGCGTTTATTTATCCATTTTTTAAATTCATCGAGTTATTATTCATTTTATTTTTCGCTTGTTTTGTTGGGCGAAAACATTTGATTGATCATTTATTTATGATATAGTAAAGACAAGAAATTTATTATTGATTCTTTTATTGATCCTTTCATTTTTGTTGTTTGTTATTTATTATTTGCTTATAAATTGTATAAACATTCTACATATCTAGTTAGCTATTTGTTACATCTAAGTTATTTGGAAATAAATTATATATCCGAAAGTTTCAATTTTTTGACTACTAAGGTGGCACGTTTCTATCATTAGACCCACTTTTAGACCCACTTGTTGACCCACTCGTTGACCCACTCGTTGACGTAGATGATGTTTGATTAGCCAATGCTTGATCATATTGTTGAACTTTTTGCCACCCTAAAATTTTTAGTCGAAATCAATTATTTTTTAGTCACAATAAATGTTATAATTTTGCATATATCCACGTACATTCTAGTTTCTCGGTGGACCTAGTTCTTGCTAGTTCTTGCGCACGTCTCCGTGAATCGATTTCCTTTTTTGCTAGGTAGTATGCTCCGCCGCCAGCTATATATAAATCATAGATTTTTAATTTTGGATATTGCTGAAAATTTATTTTTGCAATTTACCTGCAATTAGAGCAATCCTTTGTTTGTTTGTTTGTTTAATTCAATTATTTTTTAGAAATTGTGTGATTAAATTAAACATTTTTCTTTTCTAATATATACTTACCATC